ACACAGGGACAGCAGCAGCAATGGACTGAACTCCTGGCTGCTGGGACTTGGCTAGCTGCTCGTTGCTCGTTGCTGGCTGTCAACTGACATTTGACTTGGACTGTGCTGCTGTGCCAGGGATTTACAATTTAAAGCAAGTGGCCAATAAACCAGATGAACGACCACTGCCAGAAGCAAACGAGTCTAATGCACGTTGCATGAACAACTCGAGACGGAGAGACAGGTTGGAAAAGGTTCCAAAATATTTGACTGATGCTACAGCTACTGCTTCTACTCCTAAGTGTAACCGAAGTCCCTGCATGGCTGTGCTCAAATGGCGGAAAAGCGCTCAGTGCCAATACCAATAGGGTTTACGACTCAGCGACGCTGTCAGAGTGGGACAGGGACTAAGTACGATGGCTGAAAGGCAATAAAAACCATAATTACAGCATAAATGACAGATGTTACACACACACACACACACACACACCCCAAGGGCGTGGCTCTATCAACAGCTATTAAAAAACTATAAAGATCTAATGGCAGAGTCGTTATATTGTTACAGGATGGTTGATTGATGTCAGCTCGGCAGGTGCATAGATGTATACATAAGTACTACATAATTACACATGCTGCAAAGTGGAAATCGAAACCTGAATGCCCAGGGAAAAAGCAACCACAAATGACGTAGCCAGCCAGCAGCAACGATTTCAATTAGAACGCGCAGATGTATCCTAAAGATAACTACCGGATTTTGGAGCGCATATAATCAAGGCAAATGCCACGGACAATGTCCCAGCAGCACCATGTCCAGCTACAACAAAAATGGCCACAACAGACACCGAGGCAGAGGCATACAAAATGCATTCAGCGATGCCCAAGAGTTGGCAGCATTTTGGGTTGGGCCAGGAAGGAGAGAGAGCTGCCAATGGGCACTGCATTTTGCGTAACTCATTACGAGCGTACCTCATTTAGCGATGGATGAGTGCGCGGCTACCAGTCAATAGCAAACACCCCGCAGTAGGACAGCAGGAGAGCAGCACCCCAGCAAAGACAGGATTGAGGATGGACTCGCCGGATGGATGGGCGTAACAGTGGCAAGCAGTGCTGCTGCCATGGCTGCCTGCCATGGTTGCAATTTCATTCATCGACGTTTGCACATCGTCAGCGAGAACATCAATGCTTAACATGCTAACCTTTTCTCCTACGCTAAATTGTGGCCAGCCAGACTCGGCCTAACCCAACCCAAGCACTGCCTGTCCGTGTGTGTGTCCGTCACGTTTTCCACTTGCATGACCACTTCCGTGCAGGGTCCAACAAAGAATGGGCAGCTCCTGCCACTCCCGCGGGAGTCAGCCGTTAAAGTGTTGCTTACAAATCTTTAGTTGTGCATCAAACATGTACACGACGCCTCATCGTCGATTAATTAACACATTATCTGCCGCAGGTACAGTCCCAAAAAACTTTTCGTCACTTTTCGTGATTAATTTTAATGGGATTCCATTGGAGCAGCAGCAGCAGCAGCAGCAGCAGCAGCAGAAGTCGAAGTCGAAGACAGCGTAACCAAAGCTGTGGTCAACGTTGATTAGCCACAATCACTTTGGGACTCCGCTGGGACGAGTCGTTAACCGTCGAGAGTGCTCCATCGTCTAGTCCGTGGGTCATGCATTTTGCATGAGCCTGTCGGGTCGGGGGGCACAGACACCACTCAGCCAACGCAACACGAACACCCACCCACGCACCTATGTAGAAGTTGAACTAATAGCCGTTTAGTGGACTCCACGCTCGACGCTCCACTCACCACTCACCACTCCACTCGCTACTCGCTACTGGACACTACTCGCACACACGCATAACCGCAAAAACAAATGCAGCACACATGCCAGGCCCCACCTGACTGCCTCCCTTTCGAATACATATTTAATAGCAAAGAGAGCTCAGACGTGCAGGGGCACTGCCTGGCAGTTAAGCTGATTTTGTTGTTCTCTCTCTCTCTCTCTCTCTCTCTCTCTCTATCTCTCTCTCGCTGTCTGTTCGAGCCACAAGCTAATTAAGGGCACATGAATCTTTAAACGTTCCACAAGAACAAAAACCAAAAACATTCACAGAAAGATGCGAGGAAATTCGACTTATTTGTTAAAAGTCTAAGCCCAAAAAGAGGGCCAATGCTCCGGGGCTTAAATGTTTCTTAGACCTACTTAAAGATTAGGGCAACAAAAAGATTGCTAATAGGAAATGCCTTGCACACATTTATGGGTATATTTCTGCTACAAATTGACTTGCCAAAAACATACCAAACAAGTGCCAAAATTCTAGTTTCAATTGCACGAAATGGCAGGCAATCCTTGAGAGTTAATTTAATTCTAATCTCACACTCGCTCAATTGATTTTTGCTTAATTTATGCAATTGTACTCCTCATGTGTGTGTGTGTGTATGTGTTGTTGTTGTGGCTTTGAAACATAAATCTTAACAAAGCTAACAGAAATGCCAGCAACAAATGCTGCTAACCATTTGTCAATTTTAAATACATTTATTGTATTTGCATGCCTGTCTGGCCACCACCAGCAACAAATGAAAGAAAAAGCAACAATAATTTAATAACAGACACACACAAAGGACACTCGACAGACACTCGAAGTTGCCTTGTTGGCCAAGTGTTGTGTCTATGTATTATTCAAATTCAATTATAAAAAAAAAAAACGCAATAAATAAAAAATGTTTATATGCAAACGTAGATAAGAGAGAGAGAGAGAGAGATAGAAACCCAAAAAAAGAAAAAGGCAAGGAAAATTCCATTTGGGATTCGGATACCCTACATTTAGGAAGAGGTCCCAAATGTATTACGATCCCTCAGCAAATTCATCTTGATATAATGCGAAGTTATTTCGCATGACTTGGTGGGGTCTGGGAATGCTCAGTTAACAAATCACCCTGAGACACACCCTGAAGAATATTCAGAAATAAATTCGGGCAGAAGTTGTATTTTAGCTATCGATTTAGGGCAGAGTTTTCTCTGAAGTTGGAGCTTCTTTATGGCTTCAAAACTGTCACATAATTTCGCTATTTTCTGTTAATATTTGTACACCTTGTTTCCTTTTAGTTAACAAAATAAATATACCCTTTTTTGGCCATAGACAAACAGCAAGAGCAGCAAAACCTAAAGGAATATTTATTATTTGAAAAATACCTTGAGGCCGTGCCAAACGTCGGGAGTTCATAAATAACAAGGGGCAAAAAATGCACAGAGCAGCAGTACCTAGACCCTCCACAAATAATAATATTAGCAATAATAGCAATCAATGTGTAGTGTAAATAATAAATAACATTGGGCCAATAAATTGATACGAGATGATGAGACCCATGATGGGTCCCATGAGCGATTAGCCCGTGAAGAGTGCTTACCGGACAAAGGTCAAAAGTGCACGAGACAGAGAGAGAGAGGGAGAGAGCATGAACAACATGAATTTATTTGCTGTTAGCCTAATGTTATTTATACCTTTCAATTACAATAACAGCAGGAAGCAACTCGAGGTGGAGTGGCTGCGGCGGACAGCAAAGTAAATAATAAACCATGACCCATCAGCAATCAGCCAGCAAAAAGCGCCAGTCCCTAACTCATCCTTACTTCAGCCTACATGTCGCTCCCACTCCCCACTCCCCACTCCCAACTCCCCTTCAGTATCAGTCGTAATGCGTGCGCATAAATAACTTGGCCATCGCTGCCGCTGCCGCTGCCGCTGCCCTCCACCCACCATCCTCCCTCCGTCAACGAAAGGTGTGAATATTAAGCCAGTGCCAGCGCCAAAAATTTACGGTTGCCCGTAAAAGTTCCGCTTCAGTCATAACTCAAATTCATGCCTCCCAGGGGAACGCGCAGCACGGGACGGGGGCTGAGTCGCTGCCAACTCATTTGATTTTGGGCGCCGGCCTTTGTCACTCCTCCAGCCACTCCAGCCACTCCAGCCTCCCGACTTCTTCGACAAATGAGGCAGCCAACCGCAGCAATATAATTCCCCAAATAACAACTAGGGCTGCAAAATGACATTAAGCGGAGGGTTAAGCAGCGAGACGCGCCAGATTCAAATCATACTTAAAATCCCTCTGACGTTGATCAATCATTTGGGTTCGAGATTCTTACAGCGGGAGTTGGCAGCTGGCCACATAAATTAGACAGTTAAACGGGGTTCTGTTTTAGCTTTTAAATAGGCAACTTTTAGGAAAAATTAATTAAGAAATATTAAGGCATAAATTGCACGCGCGATCAGTGAGCAGAGGTTGATCTTTTCTGTGGGTGAAAGTCTCTCAAATAAGTGTTCAAAGCAGCCGCTCCAGCCCTGTTCTTCTCCGCCTTTTAACCACAACAAGTCGTAGCAGGCCCCAAACAACTTTAAGCTGTGATGTAATTAGAGATTGGCAAAATTCTAAATTTGTCATTAATTGTGCGGTGCCGCATACAAATGGATCCCTTTCTATCTATTCATTTGTGTGGGTCGTGTTGCCCGCTGACCGACTGTCTAACTGTCTGACTGGCAGGAGGACTGATTGAGCAACGGATACCTCTGGACAATTGATAAAATGTGATAAACGCGCAGCAGAGAAAGACAAATGACTGCCAGCCAGGTTTGTGCATTAGCACGTATCCGAGTACGAAACAGAGCGGAGAGTGCAGAGTGCAGAGAGCTCCGAGCTCCGAGCTGAGAGGCAACCAGCCAACAAATTGAATTTATAGCCAAGGCTAAGCGTTTTGGGTGTCAGCCTGGTTGGGCTCCTTGATTCATTTGCCCAGATAGGGACATAGCTGGAGCTCAAACGCTGCTTTTAATTTCCGACTCAAGCAGTTCCAGCAACTTGCCTCAAAAGTGCACAATGGATTGGGGGGGAGATCTAAGGGAGATGAAATGACAGAGCCCTGGGGACAAGCACTCCGCATTGATATGATAACATTTAGCAATGTAAATAATTTATAATTGCCACGCAAGAAAAGGAAAGTTCCCTCGACCTGCTGCTGACACCTTTCCAGCATTTTGTATGTATTATCAAAGCATTTTGATGCTTTTTGTTTTTTATTTTTTTATCAGCAATTGGCAGCAATTCGCACGGGAGGGGGACAGGAGCGTTGAAATCGATTTGCATATTTCAGGAAATGCCTACGACAGCGTTGGATATTTTTTTTGCAGCTGAAGGGGGATGTGTGGCTCCTTCAAGAGCCATCAAATGTCAGCAAAACTATAAAAATGTCCATCCATATATGCGTTTATATCGCAAATTTATTCCCTGGCAATGCAAAGAATTTTATGGAAATACACACACAACAAATTGAATATGGCATATGGCATATGGTAGATAAATTCAATTGAATTCAGTTCAGTTCATTCACCGTAAAAATACGCTTTTCTTTGCTATTTTATCAGCTAAAAACGGAAATATTTAATCATTTTGGGCCATTAATAGTAGCTATTATAGTTAGTCACTTGTTGGAGACTTAATTAAGCAAAACAAAAATGTGTGCATGCTTTTGTTCAAAGTTTTGTTAGAGGAAAATCCTCGCATTATATTTATTTTCTCTTAGATATTTATTCGCTATTAAACATAACTTAAATATTTGACTGTCATCGCTGTTGACAGACGTTCACTGATTGAACTTTTCTTCGGCTTTGCTTTTATTCTCATTTTCATAGTTAAGCCGTCTTAGGGAAAATATTTTTTCCCTGCACCCCCCCACACCCTCATGAGCCTGATGCGGCTTAATGGTAACTTAGGGGGGGGATAAATGTACCATTCCAATCCACAACCCAAGCACCCACGCACGCATATTCGATCCCTGTGTAAGTTTGGCCATCTCAAAATCGACATTAGCGGAATTAAAAGTTTTTTCCATGCGGTGGAAATCTTTGTGAATAAAAGTTTTGCGCTTCCTTCCGCTTTATTAAGCGCCAAAGAATATATACAAGAAAAAAATAAAATAGCTCGGTAGAATGAGAGAAAAAACTTTCATTTCAGCGAACATTATAATTAATTCTCCCACCATCGTCTCTGCCATGACAATCCATGGAGCTGCAACAAACACACACAAAGGAAAAGCAAAATTCAGCAATTTGTGCTGTGCTGTTCATTTTTCGGAGTGCCAACTAAGAAACGCATTTCCATTTAAGCTGCTTTTCGAACGTCAATTATTATCTTTCTATTATGCAGATTTAGAGAAGGGTTTGGGGCTGGTTGGATGAATGGAAGAGGCTGCTATCAACGCAGCCACAAATCACGGAAATCGCTTTAATGCAATTCAATTAATTCAGTTTGGAATCCAATTGGAGATATCAGTTTGGGTGTCAAAATAAACCGAACCGAAAACGAAAACAAACACAGTAAAAACAAAGAAAGATGTGGACGGAAAGCCGAAGCTTTACACACCCTCTCAGATGCACCGTATAACCGAAAGGCGTATAACAGTTTGACTTACTGCTTGCAGAAAAAGGCTCTCTTTCATAGAGTAAGGCATGTATGTATGTTTGCATGTACCATATACACTACAAACATCTTATCCCACCGCTGATACTCTCTGCAAGAGTATAACAATAGCAAAGTGCCAGATGATATGATAAATGTCGGCAAAGACATTCATGGCGAGGAAGTGGTGTGATGCAGTGTATGTGTGACGTCATTACGTAATCAAATCAAATAACAATTTGTACTTTGTTAAATTTCTTGTCGCCATCGATTGCCCCTCGACGACGCGTCGCCCTCTTTGACAAAAAAATGCAAATTTCTTGTATTTTTATTATTTGTCGAGCGATTGTTTCTCGCTTTTGTAGCTTATTGTTTTTGTGCTTTCGGTTGGTTGGTGTATCTGTTTTTTATTACGTGACAACTTTGAATTAGTCGTTCGGTTTGGTTTGGTTTGGACTTGGATTTGGTTTTCCGTTCGTTTGTTTTTGTTTTGTTTTGTGTTTGATGCCCCTGTCCGCCTTTGATTTCGGCCAAGTAAAGTCTTCCTTCCCCTATTTCTAACTGTTGTCACTCTCTTGTCACCCGTCTGCCCCCTGTGTGTGGCGCAAAACTACTCGGTGTCGCATTTTTATTGCCCAGCTGACACATAAAGTCAAGTGGGTGAACTCAATCGACTACAGACCCGGCGGCGCGACATGGAGCGGGGGGTTTTGTCAATGGGTTACGGCTGGGCAGCGAATATAGGGAAGCGGCTGCAAGTTTACGAGTTCAACCAAGAGAATTATGACAATTGCCGGCTGAGCTGATAGATTGAAGAGGGGGACGGGGCACAGAAACAAAAATGGAATAAACAAAGGTACTTGCAGCGATGTTTCATTATCATATGTTTCTCTTGGCGGTAGGTTATTATATGTAGTTATTATATTTATTTGAAACGAACGCAACCGAAGTAAACACATTTTTAACACACATTTACTGTAACACAGGCACTTTTAGTTAATAAACAAGACAACAAAATAAACGAAGCGCGATACCGACTCCGCTGCCATTGAAAACGAGTGTCAATTTCTTCTTCGCCGTTGCAAAATTGATCTTGTTCTCGCTCTTCCTTTACCCTTTCCTTTTCCACATCTCATTCTACGCCATTTTCGTGGAGAGCGGATTTACATGTATTAGTGCTGAGAGCACAGCACAGTGGGTGTAATGTTAATTCGCTTGAAACAATTACAGTGGGCTTAATAGCTAGTGGGATGACAAGCCTAATTAATTTACTTATTTGATTTGTCTCCAATTGCGTTCAATATAGATCTCTTAATTAACTTTCAAATACCCAAATCAAATCTCCATTGGCCAGGCATACCAAACACAACTTAGGCTCGGACTTATCGCGATGAAGCGTGTTTGGGCAGATGTCCAACAAATATGCAAATTAAGACGGAAAACTAATTTCGCCTAATTAACGATGAACGATTAAAATGGACTGTCAAATAAGCCAAACACACAGATGTACGTAGATTAGACGTTACAGGCCAGGCCGACTTAATAGCTCCCACTGGGTGCTTAATTGAAGCCCCCAAGAAAGTTCCAGCTAGGTGCAAAGTGCAGGCCGAGATGCCCACTCCACGTCCCAGGCCGAGTCCAAGGTGTCACATATCAAGCCCAACCGACAGAGCAACCAGAAACCATCAGGCAGAGGCAGAGGCAGAGGCAAACAAACGAATTGGAAACCAAACAGACAGACACACACACACAGACAGACAGTCGGATAGTCAGACACTCTGGCAGCGGCTTGGGAATGGAAATGGAAATGGGAATGGGAAGTGGTGAGGGAGAGAGAGTGAGAGAGACAGCTGAATTGACTTTGAGCGTTTACGAAATGCTCGGTGCCGTCAGAGCTCTAGGCAGGGCAGTTAGCTTGAGCCACGTTGAAATCAATTTTGCGAAATTTATTACATTAAAACGTTAGCGCCAACGTGAACCTGACCAACGACAACAATGGCATAAGCATAAACGAAGTCGCTGCGTCGATACTCTTTACAATAATCTCTTTGTTTATGGTTTATTCAAGCGAGGCGGCTGCTGTTGTTACGTATAATAGTTACCCCTCTCAGGACCGAATTTACGGTGAATTCGAATGCGTGTGGAAGAGCAGACAAAGAGCGGCACTTTTGGGCGTTTTCATGAGAGAACAGCACAGCAGCCTGATCCCGTTAGAATCGAGTGGAAAGGAGAAAAAGGAAAGAAAAGGTTCCACGCATTTGCATTAAAAGAGATATCAAGCCCAACCAGCTGAGATACTCTTTCCCCCCAAAAGTGTGTATTTAATTTCCAGTAGGCCACTCCAGCAATCATCGAGCGTTGGCATCAAATTACAAAGATCTCCCATGCATGTATCTGGCCGTGTTGGAGCAGAGAGATCACGGCTCAGCTCGGATCAGCTCAGAGGTGCAATGTGTCTACCAGCTGATGGATTTTGGATCTGTTTGCATGCGGCGCGGCGATTGCGTGGCCATCGGATGCGATGCCGCTGCGATGCGATGCCCAACATTCAACATTATTTGGCTTTTATTTTCGCACATTTTGCATAAATTAAGGTGCCATGTCGCTGCCGCCGTTGCTGCTGCTGTCTCCACTGTCGTTTGGTAGTCGCCCGCCGCTTGGGTCCCGGGGTTCAGTTACCAATTTTGTGTGCAGCTGTTCGGGCATGGCGTAGAGGCAGACGCGGACTCCGAGAGACAAACAAACAACGATCATCGAATGGAAATTGCTACAGCAAAGAAAAATCCAAATCCCAGGCGGAGTACCATTATGTGTGCACAATTAAGTGGAGTGCTGAAGGTGGCGCTGGTGCTAGTGATGGCCTCGCCACCAGCCAGTGAAAGTGCCAAGCTGCCGCCGAAGCGCCAATATCCCGCTGGCGTGGACTTCTTCGAGCACGAGTTCACCAGCGTCGCAGCAGGTGAGTGGCAGTCCTTTAACCCTTAAAGATCTTGCCCTTAATTTCGTATTTTTACTTGCAGACGAATACGATCCTTTTGGGCCGGACATTGGAAACGATGACCTGGGCATCGATGACCCGGAAACGATGCCCCGCCTGTTCCAGGGCGACATAGCCATCGATCCGTACACCTACATAACCCTGCGACTGGGCGTGAATCCAATGCGACACCCCAAGCGCCTGTGGCCCAACGGCACCATCCCTTTTGAGATCAGTCCGCGCTACGTGAACGAGGAGCGTGAGGCCATTGTGCAGGCTCTGAAGACCTTCAACTCGCTGACCTGCATCCAGTTCGAGCCCTACGACGGCGAGGTCGAGGACTATCTGCTGATCGAACCACCCGAGGAGGGGCCCAAGGGCTGCTGGTCCTACGTGGGCAAGCGTGGCGGCGAGCAGGTCGTCTCGCTGCAGCGGCCGGACGAGACCAGCGCCCACTGCTTCAGCAGCGAGGGGCGGATCATGCACGAGCTGATGCACGCCATTGGCATCTACCACGAGCAGTCGCGCGCGGATCGCGACAACTTTGTGAAGATCCACTGGGAGAACATTGTGCCGCGTTTCAGAAAGAACTTCAAGCTAATATCGCGCAAGAAGGGCAAGTACGCCTTCGACTACGACTACAACTCGGTGATGCACTACGGCGAGTTCTACTTCAGCAAGAAGAAGGGCCAGAAGCCCACCATGACGCCGCTGCAGCCGGGCGTACGCATTGGCCAGCGCAAGACCATCAGCAAGATCGACTGTCTGAAGATCAACGAGCTGTACGGCTGCCTGCAGGGACGGCGGGCCAAAATGTATCGCGGCTTCTGCCATCTGCTGGGATTGTAGTTACGTGGAGAAGGGAACTCTTTATATGAATCACATTGATTTGTTAATTTAATAAACTAATTCGTAGATTTATAATTAATTATCGCTGTGGAAATCGAGCCCAAAGGGTTTCTTTTTGTTGCGAAATATGCAGGGAACATCTTCAACCGGTTCCTTGTGGTGCAAAGAGAAAGTCCTGCAAATGAGTTGAAGCGTGTGTATTATGCGTAAGAGCAGTGCTGCGATGTCCACTTACAGAAATAACTTTGGAGTTTGGCTATATGTGAAGCACTGCAATGCTTTTGTGACATTTCCCGCGTTGCTCTTCCTGGTCCAGTGCATCGAAATACATTCGTTTTATCTGTTCAGGCTGCTGCAAAGGCTGTAAATTGTCAATTGTTTCAGTCTCTATATACACACACACCAACATACATACATACATACAAAAGAGAACACTGCTTACCTGCACACGAACAGCAAAAAGTAGCGGGAAAAACGGGCGGGAATGCACTGCTTAATCCAATTACTAAACCTAAACTAATCCTCTCTCTCGCGTGCTGCTTTATCAACAAGATCTATATAAACTTCCTTTTTTATATTATAATTTATTTACGATTTTTTGTGGCTTTTCTGAAGGTATACAGTTGTTGTTTGTTTGTTGGGGAGCCTTAAAACTACGCAATTATAGCTAAGGAGTGCCAGCCTGGCGACGGTTTGGTGGTGCCCGCATAGTGGCGGGCCCTAAACCCTGTCCAGTGCCTCGACCAGGACAATGCTGTTGCCGCGGATGACCACCATGCCCACGTTGTTCTTCGTCTTGTCTTTGCACTCCTCAATTGTGTCGTCCAGCACCACGTTCATGAAGGGGTCGAATCCACGCAGAATACCAGTCACAGCGCGTCCGCCATTGAGTTTCAGCATCATGCGCTTGTCCATGTACTTTTTCAACTCTGGGGGATGTGCCTTGGACATTTTAAGGTAATATTTTTAAATTTTCCAAACAATTTGCAGACAAAATGGTGAAGCCGGCTACACGCCGAAAAAATGGTACTAACGCGTAAATCTTAACCCGTATGGCGAATGTGGTGTCATACGACCATAATACCATGTGTATTTCGTATTTCGTATTTTTGCATATCCATTTAGGAATCCATTCTAATTGTCTGTCCAAAAATCTCCAGCGAAATTTGCCCGAAAGATGTTTACAATATATTAAACATTTCAATTGCAGACAGATGGTAAAACTCAGAAATAAGTCGCCTTATTCATCTTAGCTTAGTTGGGTTAAGGTGGTTGTGTGCATGGTATATTTTTGTATTTTGTTGATATTTTAGGTATTTTGTAGGTATATTTCGGTATGTTTCTGAGAGTCAGAGGGCACTTTGTCTACAATTCGCGGTCACACTGCTCATTTCCACTTTGGCGAGGTTAGGTAAGACACGCGCGTATTTTTCTCTGCTGCGAAAGAAAGTGTAGAAAATTAATTGTGCAGAAAGTGTTGTACTAGTCAAGGGCACTTTTCAGAAATATGCTCAAATTAATGCAATACGTGACGCGAAAGTCGTGCGAGAGCATCGCACGGCCGGCGTGTAGTTGGCACAACTTATTGATTTCACCAAGCAGTGCGGAAAAATGTATAACGCAACGTCGCCATTTTCTTTTTTCCTCGACCAACAGAACGACCAGCAGCAGTTTCGCTTTGCTCTGCACAGAACACCCACAACAGTTCCACGGGAGTCCGAGTAGTCCCAGTCGCCAGGAGTCGAGTCTATCCAAAGTAGTATTACTACCCAGTATCTCCCAGGCACAGCAGCGTGCGTTTCGATTGTCACCCAGACGACTTGAAACGTCAAGAACATCAGCAGCCCCAGACTCTCTCCCAGAAGCAGACGAGCAAGACACTGTGTCCAAACGTGCGAGGAAATCGCCTTTTACTTATCCACACGAGAATACAGAGGAAATCAAAATTGAAGGAGTAATGTAAGTAGAATCCGCCAGACGGCGAAATGATTAACAATAAAATCGCTTATGAAACGCAAGTACAGAGCAGCTGGGCCGCTGGTTTTTTCCGCCGCCATTTTGCTTGCGCTCGGCGTGCTCGTATATTTCTGTACACCTACGAAACGGGCTGTGATGAGTAATTAGGTGCGGGCTGCGCTTGAAAAGGCAGCGAGAAAGAGCAAAGACAGCAAAATGTGAAATGTGAAAACGGGACAGAGGCCAAAGCAAGACAAAGCAAAAACACATGGTCCGATAATTTAGACAGTGGCCCCCCTCTCTCTCTCTCTCTCTTATGTAGCCATCCGCAAGCAACAACTAACTGGCAAGAACGACAGCGCACGTCATAAAGAGAATTTGCTTGATTTGTGAAACGTGTCTTTGCTTCGTTTGCTTTTTTATAGCATTTTAATTTGTCTGTATGTTCAAACACGAACACGCACACACACAGAGAGCTTGCGGTAGTGTGAGTGAGGGTCTCTTGCCTGTTGACGGCGGGCGGCATTTTTCGCGTGCTTCGACCGCATGTATAACAGTTTCGTAGCACAGTCGGCGGCTGTCACTGACTAGCTCCGTCCCGCTCGCACGGCCTGCTTTCCGTTTGCCTGCTGTTTCGTTTATGCGCAGAATATATCTAGATATCACTGTATGCGAGTTTTTACAATGTGTGCACGTGGTCGAAGATAGTTTGATGAGAAATTGCGCAGAGTTGTTGTATTATCTCGCTATCTGCGATGTTACTTAAAAAGATAAAGACATCAAAATATACTATATACACGTTATGGGCCACCGCATGAACTCTCGCTATTAGTTTAAAATGTCAAATGACGCCAATTGATTATGATGAGCCCTTTCCGCCTGCGATGTGCCCTTTTGCATGTCACAAAGCGACAGGTAGACACACAGCAAGTCGTTCCCCCCGTAACCCGTTCGAGACATTTGGCTGTCTCATAAACGTTCGGAGCGTTCCGTTTCCGCTCTGCTAGTTGGCCAAGTTGGCGTGCCAGAAGCCTACAAATGAACAGACACAGCACCAGCTGAGGGGGGGCCCAAATTGACAGGGCAATAGGCAGGCCAGGATTGGAGTCTAGTCGAGTCGAGGCAGTCCTTGGGTGCAACCCCACATTGATTAATGTCAGAGGCCCGTAAACATTTGTGTTTGCGCGAGGCTGGGGGCGGGGACAGTCGTTGTTTAGTTGAGCAATCGGCTTGTGGCATGGGGTGGATATACTACACAAATATGTATTGGGGGAGATGTTGCATGTTGTTGTCAATCAAATTTGCTTTACTGTTTGTATTATCCGAAATTTATTTAATTTCCATAACACGCAATTAGTTTTATTTAAGTTTATTGCGGTTGTCTCTCTCGCCGTCTCACTCTGGCACAGGCCCGGTGCCCCAAACTAGCGTAACTCTCTGTCCGCTGTTTAGCGGCTCTTTAACGACAGACACAGAAAGGCAGAAAGAAAGAAAGTCAGAGCCAGTCTCAAACGTCTAGCGGCAGCATGCGAGCAAAGTAAGACCCGCCAAGCCTTCACTTTTCCACAAAGAAATACTTAAGAAAAGAAACGAGAAAATGATGCAACTGTCAAGGAAAATATGGAAAATTACTAGCCCCAAAGTCGCGGAGCGTAAACCTTGACTGCGAAGAGCCAGATACAAGAGAATGAAATTTCTTTTCTTGAGCCTTCCTTTCTTAGCCAGCAAGAACCTCGGGACCTAGCCGTTAATTCATATTTTATTCCTTATCTTTTCATCTTGCAGGGCACCACACGATCGTGATTTCGGTCAAAATGCACGCGGCCGCGGTGACCGCGGTGGCGGTGATGATCGTCGCGGCGGAGGTGGCGGCGGTGGAGGATCCCGCTTTGGCGGTGGTGGCGGCGGCGGCGGTGGCGATTACCATGGCGTCCGCAATGGACGGATAGAGAAGCGTCGCGATGATCGCGGCGGCGGCGGTGGTGGAGGCGGTGGAAATCGTTTTGGCGGCGGTGGCGGTGGATTCGGTGGCGATCGTCGCGGAGGCTTCGGCAGCCAGGATCTGCCCATGCGCCCAGTGGACTTCTCCAATCTGACTCCGTTCAAGAAGAACTTCTATCAGGAGCACGCCACTGTGGCGGCCCGCACGCCGTACGAGGTGCAGCGTTATCGCGACGAGCACGAGATAACCGTGCGCGGCCAGGCCCAGAATCCCATTCAGGACTTCTCCGAGGTATACTTGCCAGAGTACGTGACGAAGGAGATCCGCAGGCAGGGCTACAAGGAGCCAACACCCATTCAGGCGCAGGGCTGGCCCATCGCGATGAGCGGCTCAAACTTTGTGGGCATTGCCAAGACCGGCTCGGGCAAGACCCTGGGCTACATTCTGCCCGCCATTGTGCACATCAACAACCAGCAGCCGCTGCAGCGCGGCGACGGACCCATCGCCCTGGTGCTGGCGCCAACGCGTGAGCTGGCCCAACAGATCCAGCAGGTGGCCACCGAATTCGGTTCGTCCTCCTACGTGCGCAACACCTGCGTCTTCGGAGGCGCCCCGAAGGGCGGCCAGATGCGTGATCTGCAGCGCGGATGCGAAATTGTCATCGCCACACCCGGACGTCTCATTGATTTCCTCTCATCGGGCGGCACGAATCTGAAGCGCTGCACCTACCTGGTGCTCGACGAGGCCGATCGCATGTTGGACATGGGCTTCGAGCCCCAGATCCGCAAGATTGTCTCCCAGATCCGTCCCGACCGACAGACCCTCATGTGGAGTGCCACCTGGCCCAAGGAGGTCAAGCAGCTGGCCGAGGATTTCCTGGGCAACTACATCCAAATCAACATCGGTTCCCTCGAGTTGTCGGCCAATCACAACATTCGCCAGGTGGTCGAAGTGTGCGATGAGTTTAGCAAGGAAGAAAAGTGAGTTTTTGCAAGCATTGAGGAATCAAAAGTGATCAAAAATTAAACTTACGATTTTGCTTAGGTTGAAGAGTCTCCTGTCCGACATTTATGACACCAGCGAGAATCCCGGCAAGATCATCATCTTTGTGGAGACGAAGCGACGCGTGGACAATCTGGTGCGCTTCATTCGCAGCTTCGGCGTGCGCTGCGGCGCCATTCACGGCGACAAGTCGCAGTCGGAGCGTGACTTTGTTCTGCGCGAATTCCGTTCGGGCAAATCCAACATTCTGGTAGCCACCGATGTGGCGGCCCGTGGTTTGGGTAAGTTTCCGCCATAGCGCACAGCACACCGAATCCTCTTGTAGTTTGGTCAACCCACAACAAAAAATGGAATGAAAGAAAAGGCCTTAGGCCGCACACACACTTATGTAGACACACACATACCAGTAGGGGTAATTGCTTAAAATCATTCACAAAAGAAACTTCACACCTAATAGATCATTCATACATAAAGACACACCCACACACACGCATAAGCGAATGTTAATCCTCAAAAAGAAACTCCCGAATCGTAACTCCCAAATTCGCACCCAATATATATCGTAACTATCGCGCCAAAATAACAGTTACTAGTCTTAATGCCAATCAAAGAAAAACTTGAATAATCAACTTGAACTTTATTCCACCCCCCTTACCCACACCCAACCCCCAAATCCATTCCTTGCACCCGGCCCGGCCCGACCCTTGCGAAAATATAACAAATATGCATATGTACTGTGTACTGTTTGTTATACGTGTTATACGTGATGATCTTTTGTGCGTGTCTCTCTCTGCCTCTTTCTCTCTCTCTCCCCCACTCTTTCTGTTTCTTTCTCGTTTACAGAGGCCGCCGATTGTTGTAGTATGATGGGGATGATAAATGTGATAAAATGAGAGCGACCCGTGCTGCGACCATTGCGAGTACTCGTAACTTGAGCGACTTTTGCCATCATCTCTATCTCTCTCTCTCCACTGAGAAGACTTTGTTTTGTTTACTGGGCAAAAGGATCTATGAAAGTTGCTGACGATCGAGATTCGTTTCGGCTTGTGGATGCGCAACGACCTATTCCCCACCATCATGCATCATATGTGGCCTCTGCAGTCTGTATTGAGAAAGAGTTTAACGACCAAGTCAATCAATCAATCAATCGACAACAACAACAATGCAGCAGCTCCAGGCAAACCAACACAAACCAATCCAACACTTTGCCAGCAGTTAGCAGTTGAAGGCGGCGCCAGAAAGACAGGCGACAAAAGACATTCCAGAGGCTGCCCAAAAACATCGACGGCTCCCCAGACCAGTATCAGCAACACGGTCACCCTGCCCTGCCTGCCTGCCTGCCAGTCCTGCCCTGACCTGAGGATGCACCACCAAAAGCAAGCAAAAGACACACACACACGCACCCGAACACCACAACACAGGCACAAGCGAACACAAAATCAGATTAGATCAGATTCAATCCGATCCTGAGCGCTCATGCCACCCCTCCACACAGACACCAAACAAGCAAGCAACCAGCCAACACCCGCCGCACTCGTAGTTGCTTGTGGAAAGAGAACACCGTACTACTGAACCATGATGAGGAGTGTTGTGTGCGGGATTGAGTGAGGGAGCGGAGTGGAGCAAAATGTGTGGGGCTGATGATGTGTGGTCCTCGTCCTCGTCGTCACTGCTGCTGCTGCTGCTGCTGCTGCTGCTGTTGAGTGCGCTGCCTGACTGCCCTGCCTGTGACTATGCCTGCACCGCGCCGCCGTCATCGTCAATGGTGTGGTGGCGCCTGCTACTGGACAGGCGGCTTGTTGTTGTGTTACCGTTAACTCCCCCCCCAACTAGCGGCGCTCCTCCGTGCTGTTCCTCCCTGTCTATGCGGAGGATGCGGTTGACGTTGCCGCTGCCAATGCTGCGGCTGCCTGCCGGTGCCGTGGCCATACTGCCGTGACCATGGCCATGACAGTTGCTGCCGTTGGCGTTGGCGTTGGCCGAGCGAGCCTCTCCCGCCAAACACACACCTACACACGAGAGAGAGTACAGTCAGCACCGGCTGCTACTGCTTCTCGCGTTATATAAGAGAGAGAGGCGCGGCGCACGCGGCTCAATGCAACAAACTCTCGCCGCTCGCTTCGCCGTGCGATTCTTTATTTTGTTATTGGGAGAGTTTGGACCACGAGCTGCGCGACGCCACAAAAAGCTTTGAGATTTTTGATTGAGAGAGAAAAATTGAGTGAAACAATTTATAGCACCAAGAAGGTAACGTACATTTTGAAACATTTTCTTTTTTTCTAAAACAAAAAAACAAACAAAAATACATACCCAACAAAAAGACTTTCACTCAACCAACAAAACAAAAACAAAAAGTATTACGCTAAAGTCCAAAAAGAAAAGTAAAAAAAAGACAAAAACCAACCTTAAAAAAAGAGAAAAAATTAAGTGTGTTCAAAGTGTAAAAAATCTCGGAAAAAACGCTACAAATTGTTGCAAGCGATCTGCGGCTAAATACATTTGGCAATTTGATAAACTATAATTATTACCCCCCGTACCCCTTATTAAACGCTCTGCCTGCTCTGCCTCCCAACCAGCTGTACCTGACTCGCATGTCTAATCCTTTTGCTTATTTTTGCTCTGACCAAATGCAGATGTGGATGGCATCAAGTATGTCATCAACTTTGACTACCCACAAAACAGCGAGGATTATATTCATCGCATTGGACGTACGGGACGTTCGAACACCAAGGGCACATCCTTTGCCTTCTTCACCAAGAACAATGCCAAGCAGGCCAAGGCGCTTGTCGATGTGCTCAAAGAGGCTAACCAGGTGAGTTCACTGAATACTGAACAATAAACAAATACTAATCTTTTTCTTTCCTTAGGAAATCAATCCTGCGCTGGAGAATCTTGCCCGCAACTCCCGCTACGACGGTGGCGGTGGACGCTCCCGTTATGGCGGTGGTGGCGGCGGCGGCGGCGGTCGCTTCGGCGGCGGTGGCTTCAAGAAGGGCAGCATTAGCAATGGTCGCGGCTTTGGCGGCGGCGGCGGTGGTGGTGGCGGCGGCGGCGATGGTGGCCGGCACACGCGCTTCGATTAAGAGCAGACAGAAACTAATTAGAAACAGGAGATTTCATCAGTAGCAAAAAACAAAAAACAAAAAACTAAAACAGCGCTAGGCCCTAAGTTAAATTAAGTTTGTAGCCTAAGTTTAAGTTTTTCGTACTTTTCATCGCTTTGTGAGGAAAGAACTAATACCCCCCATACCCCTAACCGGATTTGGACTAGACTCTCAGCAACACAAACTACCCACACATTGAACATAGCGACTTTATGTTTAAATTTGATTTGTGAAGTGTAAATTATTTGTCGCTGCCCCGGCCAGACCTTTTCCAAACTGAAATTGAAACTGAAACTGCAGCAGAAGGAAGCGCCAAGCCAACAAAACTCTTAACCAATTTTCAAATATGATGTGATAATTTCTTAATTTAATGCAAACCAACGTATCACTAAAAACTAAACCAAGCAAGAACGAAGCGCGTTGTGCAGGAAGGAGGCTGCCGCTGCTGCAACAGAAGGAGAAACAGCAGAAGCAGCAGAAGGAGGAGGATGTAAAGGAGGAGAAGGTGGAGAAGAAAGTGTATGGATCATTCCCGTCTGTCCCATTTGATGACAATGAGCAAAGGCTGACAATCCGCTGTAACTGGCGGCCTTTGTTTGATAAATTCTTCAATTTACTTTTTGGAACATTACTTTTGGATACCTTTTTATGGCACAACCAACCAGAGAGGAATGAAGGAATAAATAAGAGAACAGAAAACATAACATAAACACAGAAACAGTAACAGTAACACATTAAACACTCTAAAATACAAAAGAAAAATCTGTATGTACAAGAACAAGAAGAGAGAGACGAGAAATTTCTCACTTTCATTTTACTTTTTTGGAAAAATAATAAACGTGTGTGTATACCTACTACTACTACTACCTAAAAAGGAAAGCAACTGCAAACAATGCACTTTCTGGGTCTGGGGGTTCAGTTAATGTATTAAATTCAATTAAGTTTTAAGCTTCGACAAAGGAAATTCCATTCCGCCCACGGGCATGCCCATAAAAGTACCCACAGGGCGGGGAGCAACCCAATCGTGATTGCAGAATTTTCTACTCCTCCACTCTGCTCTCTTTTCTCATTCTTTTTTGGCAGACATCATTAAGTACTATGGCACTTGGGACACACTGGAGCAGTGTCAATAGCAGCGAGCTGCCCGCTCACCAGCCACCACCCCTGACAGCGACAGATAAGAAATATCTCCCTGGTCCTAGCTGGCCGCCAACCGTGTCTGACACCACATTTAGACGCAATGAAGCCAATTCACTTTCGACTTTGGACGGTTGGGTCGAAATGTTGCCTTTGGTCTGTCGCCTGTCGTCTGTCCTTTCTCTTTTTCGTACATTGCTCTCATATTTCTTATGACAAGTTTGGTCCTGCAGATGCTTGCCTTGGATAATGATGCTGTAGGCGACGTGAATGTGGTTGGATTCGTGGCACTACGGACTGCTGAATGGGGTTGGGAGGGAGGCTGGTCGCGTACTTGCGGTTGCGGTGTGGCCCAAAGTAGAAGTCCAAGAAGGAAGTCATTTGTTAAATTGCTTGAATTGGGTAATGTTTAAGTGGAGAGGAAGGAGCTGGCAGTGGGGCAATTGCAATGATTGGACTGATATGGAAAAAACCGAAACAAGTTGTAGGAAATTTTGTACAACATTTTGGTTGGGGAAAGTTTGCTAGTGACGGGTCAGGGATGGCTTTGAAATTGAATGCATAACAATACATATTACATAATATTATGTAAAAGTTTATGCATATATACATTAAAAGTACATACAAAAATGTATGAGAGTTTAATTAACTTTAAAATGACGTAAAAAATATTTATAATAAATCTTTCAGCTCGAAACTTGTACCCCGAATTGACGCATCTTTTACGCAACTCTTCAGGTTCCCATCCATCATACAGTACCTAATTATCAGTCGTGTAGAAGCAGTCCTACAAGGGTCTAATACTTATAATTGTGATGAAGAAATTTCACTTGAATCGGAAAGTATATTACCTAATCTCTTGTTGTAATTTAAGACTAGGATTACTTAGTCTGCAGCCTCCCCTTGCTGGCTGATGTGATGGCACTCGGTGGAGGCATTAAGCAGCCACACAACATTTACTCCACGCACACACTCAACGGCGAGGAAATTGCCTACAGAGAGAGCGAGTCCGTGTACACCTCGCTGCATTCCGTGCCACATTAGGCTGCTAGCTTTGGCTCTGGCTCTGGCTCTGGCTCATTTTCATTCTTATCCCTGAGACCCTGCCACTTAACCGAGAACGAAGCAGGTCACTTGCTTTCACTCGGATTACAAAGGAGATGCCACCAGCATAAATTCATTAAATTTGCCTAATTTCGCACACATGGGGTTGGGGTTGGGGTTGCTGCTGGAGGGGGCGTGGCAAGACAACCAGTTGAGATTCATTGATTGTATTTACAACTCCCGCGACAGCAGAACCCAGGCACATCCTCGCTGCTGCGCTCCGCTTTGGCAATTTGACGCGTTATCACTTGTGTTGGAGTTTGTTATCATTAAACTGGCGCCAGCTGATGTACTTAAGCCAAATCAAAACTCAAGCCGCTCGCGCTCAAGTTCATAAAATCCACGCCCAGTCGGGGCCAGGCCCAAACGCTTCTTCTACACACATAAAACCGCCCGCACGCACATCAAGCACGCCTTAACTAACATCGAGGCGAGGCAGGGATCGGGATCTGGGTGCTGGGTGCTGGGTGCTGGGGGTCGCTTGTTTTTGACAACTTGGGAATAATAAGACATTAACTTCATGCACATCAAATACTTTATTTATGGCCGTCTGGAGTGGGTGCATGTGTGCCAGTGTGTGCCTTGGAGTCTGCTTCCTTGAGGCACTTCAAACGACTGACTGGCACGCCCAGCCAGCAGCCCACATCCAACGACGTCTTTGGATCTCACCAGCGTGCTCATAATTTCTGTTTGGGTCCCGCATTTCATCTGAGGGTCTTCCCTCTGCCTGGCTGCTTGATTTTTAATTTCGGTTTTTCTCTTCTTTCTTTCTTACATATATAATTTTTTTTGCGCCCTCTCTGCTGTCTGTTTATTCACCATAGCGCGCTGCCTGTTTGGCAAATTAAGTGCAATTGCTTGAATTTAATTTCATGCAAATAAAAGTTTTGATTAGACGCTGCCACAGAACCCACACACACAGAGAGAGAGAGAGAGAGAGTCTCTTGTGCTGCTCCTCCTCTGCCACATGTTCGTAATTAGGCACTTGGGCCATGCATGTGTTCCCGATGGATGTGCTCCGTGGAAGCCGCCTACGTGTCAGCCCAAGTGGCGTATGCGTAACATAAAACGAATGAAAATTCACCAAAACATAAACTATATGAGCCAAGCGCTCTGATCGTAATAAAATATGGCAAAATGAGGCCGACTCTCTCTCTCTCTCCTCTGCAAATTATTTAATTTTGCAGCACTTTTCGGAGCATAAATAAAATTTGTTAAAGTGCCAAATAATTAATAAATGAATTGCCGCTGCTTAAGCCCAAAGGTTAAAGCAGAAGGAAAGGCCTTAAGGGTGGTTGCCTTAGGGCTGCCTTTCTCTGGCATTTAGTTTTAGCCCAAAGTTGCGACAATTTGTGTCATATTTCTCTCTGCGCACCGAAAGATAATTCAATAAAGTGTGGGCGGGCGTAGCGAACCGAACCGAAGGGAACCGAACCCCCGCCCGATGCCTGCATAATGATGTCGCAGCATATTACATATTATGTAAATATGAAATTCAATTGTTTAAGCATTTAGCAGGCTGCATAATTTATTAAAATGGGACACCTGACGCATGCCATGCGCCGGCAGTCGGTCCAAAAAGAGGAAAGCTCAGGGCTAGGGCTGATGGCTGCTCCTGCTCCGGCTCCGGCTCCGGCTCCGTTGTTCCCTGTTCCCATCACGTTGACGTCTATTGGCTTTTGTTGTGCACGAGGCGCATGAGGCGTTGTCGTCCTCGCTGTCGTTCGCTCCTGCCTGACAGGAATATAAACAGAAGGGCGCAAGGCTGCTGCCTTAAAGGTGGAGAGCAGAGCGAAGGCCAGGCCACTGCAAGGACTGCATGCGGCGTTGAAATTGATTTTTAAACAGCCAAGCAGCCAGCCAAGACGCAGCTCATGTCGTTAGCAAATCATAAAAGTGTGGACGCTGCTGTTGCTCCCCCTCTGCTTTTTCCCCCTCTAATAGTTGTTGTTTTGTCATCGCATAATGAGGAAAGTGCTGGGAGCTGGGAGCTGGTAGCTGGTAGCTGCTTCCTTCCCCCCCTGGTGGGAGTGGCGCTGCATCTGACATTAAGTAAGATGGATGGCGTTGACGTTGCGTGCAGCATTTAGCGCTGATCCCCTTTGAGTCCATATTGATGCCAGGGCCAAAGGCAAGGCGAAAATTCAATTTGACTTCGAGCGACTTGGCTGGGGTCAAACTTGATGCCTGCTGATGACTTGATGACCCGTGTGCAACTTCTGACTTTGCTGCTAAATTAGCGTTGCAAATATGCAGTGCTGAAGTTGTTGTTGCTGCTGTCACGTTGTCGTTAGCCAACTGATTTTCCATATTAAAGTTGCAGCCAAGTGGCAGGTCTGCGTCCCCTGTTGTTGCTGGACGCGTGCTTTTATGCAAGATTTATAGCTATTTAAACGACGCATAATGTGTCCTGGCTGCTGCTGCTGCTGCTGCTGCTGCAGACACACCCCAAACCCAACCCTCCTTAAGATATACATTCTTGACAACGTGTTCAAGTGGTTAACCCACCACCCACCACCCCACACACCCCACACCATGTGCAATATTTTATTTACATTTTTCACTCGTCCTCGTCTGCGTCTGTACACTCGCGCTGAATCCTTTTGCTGCTGCTGTTGGCCTCCTGCTGTTTGCTTTTACTGCTCTTCTGCTCTTCTAGCCTTCTGTTTTTTGCTTTCCTCTTTTATTTACATTTTGTTTTTTTCATTTTTCTAATGAGCTGTAATTTCTTCTTTTATTTGCAGGCCGTTATGCGTACGTACACAAACAATAAGCTGGCAAAAGGGGGCAGACGAAAAAGGGTAGGGGCATGATAAAGGGCAAGGGGAAGGCAAAGGGGAAAGGGGAAAGCCTCTGCGCTGTCTGTGGCTGTCTGAGGTGTGAAAAACACTTCTAATATGCAAATGGCTTTTCGTTTTGTTGCTTTTGCCAGCTGTGCCTGTCTGTCGCCGTCTGTTGTGTGTCTCGCACTCAAGGTTAAGGCGGTTTAAAAATAGTAATTACAAATTTTAATTGCATTCCAATCAAAAGACAGGCACACGCACACGCACACAAGCATGGCAAACAGCGTTTCATTACATCCAATTAACTTTTGTGCATTTTTGGGTCAAGTACAGTGCGTATCACAATGCCATAAAGATTTAAGCAGAGAAAATACTCT